GGTGACTGCTGTATGATTTTGGTCGGCGAGGGTTTTGAAGAATTGGAGCGCGTTGTCGTAGTGGACGCTCGAGGCCGCCCATAAGGACTCAAGCGAGTCTTTAAAGGCCATGATGGGGGTTGAAAGCGCTGATCGACAATGAGGGACAATTGCTGGAGTGTTGGGCACCGCTTCAACAACAATGAATGGTTCGAGATACTATTCTTATTTATTATTGATGCTGGCTATTTTGAGCCCCTGAAACGCGTGGGCCGCTATCTCGGCCTGAGGCACAGTAGCTTTGCCTGTTTAGGTTGGTGGACCCACTAGTTCTTTGTCGCGGTTTTGTGGTTTGTCTCTCTTCTCTCCCTCTCTCTTTTCCTCGGATAACTGACATCCCCCTCCTTTCATCCAGGAATAGCCATCCTCATCTTTAAAAAGGGCTCCAGTTCAAGATGTTCTTTCATGAAGAAATGAAGGTCCTACGCCGGAATTGCATAGGCGATCAAGTGCCTTCCGGACTGGATCCGGACAATGAAAGAACGACGGATGCACTAAATCCCCGCACCGGCGGGTGGTGATCTGCCCACGGATGCTAGTGCCAAGTGCAATATCGAGCACGGAGCCGGTCTTCGAATCCGACAATCAGTTTGTCAAGACTGATGTAGGCTTGGGGTTGGTGGAATGCAATCATTCTGATTGCTATAGACTTGCAGGTCTTATATCACCACGTGTAACAAGCGCCGGTTCAACAAGATGAACGCAATGCAATGACCGGGATATAGTGACGCTCGCCTCTTTGTCACTCATGGCGCGATCTGAAAGAAAATAGCAGCCAACCAGCGGTCACTGGTTACAATCTAGAGCTTTGTCCCGAGTCGAATCCTTGAATGATCACGAAGTCCAGCCTTTTTCAGACACACCACTTCTTCCTGGCGCTCTGATTTGTAGTCGGTCAAAACTCTATTTGCCGAGCAGGAGTGGCATTGACCATTCGTGGCGTGCCATCTCGTGCTACGCCTCGTGGGACCCTGGGTATTGCTTGCATTTCCGATATTGTGCACCCAAGGCCGTTGGCACAGCGCTGTGGCTTTGCTGAAACTATTGAGCTTTTCGCCAGGTCAAATATCGGAGAGGCTCACTGGATCTCATTTCCATTATCTGCTCTTCTCCTTGCCTTTCATCGTCTAGTTCTACCTGGCTTCCCTTGTTCACAGGATTTAGGGTCCTATTTACACACAGCCCCGGCTACATATTGCACCTTTCATCGTCTTTAGGGACGTTCTAGCTTTTTTGACGCTGGTATTTTGCCTTTGGTAACTGCTCGTCGGGCATTGGCTCGAATATGACACTCGGGGAAAGCTTGCTTGCTCCCAACACCCCTTTTCGGAATCCATCGAAACCTACCTCGTTTACTTGTAATAATTGTTACGCACTGGATAATCAACATGACCTCCAATATCGACACTGCGGATATTTCGGAGTTCAGAAAGATGACATGGGACCTATATTATACCTGCAATTCTATCTCTGGAGATGCCCCGGACGGCTTCAGGCAGCTTGTGGCTAGTCTGGAATCCCTGCATGGCGTTTTTCAAAATTTGGGAAATGATGCTACCTCAAAGAACTCAGAGGTCGGAGAAGATGAAGAGCGCAAAAATACACTGCAGCGATGCCTAAAATCTTGCTCTGTCACCTTGCAGCAGCTCAAGGAAATAGTCGATATGTATCGATCTTTAAGTTTCGGAACCGGGAAGCAGTTGTGGCAGTCAATAGACTGGACCACACAGCAAGGATTCATTGACGAACTGAATTCCAAAATAGTGACCCATACATGCCACCTGGGCCTATGTGTGAGTTCTATTAGCCAGTGAGTATCCAAAAGCGCGTTTTCTGATGACCCGGTCTCATTGTTTAGCACATCCCTAGAAAGGACTGAAAGTTCCGCGACGAAAACGTCAGCGAAAGACGTACCTCCCCCGACTCCGTCGTCTTTGCAGATGCAAGATGAAGTCTCGCCCATATCATTCTCAGCACCCATACTTCGTTCCCACAACGTGCATATTATGCCAGAGTTGGATGGAACGGAACTTGCCAATGCGAACACTGCCCGCCAGAATACGCAACACACACCAGGAGATCGCACTCGGGTTTCGGCGTCCTCTGAATCTTTTGTATCCGGGCACTCCGAAGGGTCTATTTTCACAGCTGCCACACGCACCGCACCTGGTACCCCCGCTACAGCAAGCTTCAGCCCCCTACACATGGTTGCTCCGGATGCTTGTTCTACTGAAAAAGAAGTGGTTTGGTCTCGCGGGCCAGGGGCTGGAGTTTCGGGTGTACAATATCAACGACAGATTCAGCGGTCGAACTCGATCAATTCAGGCGAGTCAAGTCTGTGGAATAGCACAGGCCATCATCCAAGGGCTGATGCCATTCAAGACCTCCACCAACGTCAATTGCGGGAACAGCTCCTCCGATCGCTACGATTTGAGCCTCGGGATAGATTTCATCAGCCTGATGCTGAGCTCCTCGTTAAATTTGATAACCTGTCTCATAAAGAAGAGCGGCCCCAACATCTTACTGCAAAAGGTTGGCTGTTAGTTGCAGTATGGTGGCTTCTAAAGGCATACCCTCCCACCCTTTAATTCGCCGCGGTTGCTGACGATCTCAAAGGCTAGGACATCCCTTGCCAATAGTGAAATGCCAAGCCTTGCAAGCCATAGAGGCAGCACGAGCCCGTCTACACTGTCATGTACCGCAAGTCACCAGGCGTATGTGGACCTCCTGAAAGCTTCGTACATCCTATATGATATTGTCTTGCGGATGGAAAGCCCACAGATGCTGTCGGAAGACGAAAACAAAAAATTGATTTCAGATTTGTCAGAGGTAAGCCATTGAAAAGGTCATTTTGCTCAACTGGGCTAAGTACTCGAAAGGGTATCAAAGCAGACTTTGCTCAATTCAGTACTGTTGACATCCCTGACTACGCTACTACTCACTCGCAAAACCTCGATATTTGGGAACCTGTGCAACCTGAAGAGACAACAGGTAATGAATGTCAAGCTTCTAGCCCGGGAAATATCTGTTATATCACAGTGGAGCTGGAAGACGCTGGGAACGAGGATGAACAAGTGATTTTTCGGACTTTTGTGAACGCAGGCATTGGGAGCAAGAAGCTCCGTATGCGAACCAGAGGGGCTCCATATATGCTACTGTTGTCCACCAGGTATGGGGAAAGTGAGCCCAAAGTTACAATCTGCAACCAGCACGGCACTTTCTGTCTCCAGAGGGACTGTAGGTCTTTCAAACTCTTTGCTTAGTATCGGCTAATTGGTCCATTATCTAGTAACACCGGGGGATCTGGCTCAGTTGATTCAGGTCTCAAGCGTGTCTCTCACCGGCCTCCCTACAAGGATAACAGAACCTGTGGCACTCAAGTTTGACACTATAAGTGTGTCAGTTTCGTTCCAATACTTATCAGATATGATGCAAGTCATCAATATGCCCAAGGCATACTTTGACGCGGTCCAGTTACGAGAACCACTGGAGTCAGACCAATTTACCGAGACGGTTGTGTTCAAAAGCTCTGCCGAATCGCTCGAGCTGCTCAGGATGCCCAATATGACTTCCACTCGTCCTCCTACGGTGTATAGGTCTTGTGAGGTGCGCATCCTAGAAAGGTCCTTTAAGGAGGCATGGCGCTCTGTTCGACGCATAGTCATCTGCTCTTCAACAGCTGATAGTAGTGGGCAAATTATGGAATTCTTCATGCCATTAAGTCATGTGCAGGTCAGCCGCACTAAGGCCTCGGGCTTCATGCTGCTGAAATGGTCAGACACGGGTCAGGAGAGGTCAAGCAAGACAGACGGGAACTACCACCCCCTGTATTCCTACGTCTACGACGGGAGCAATCCTAACATCGGGATTAGTATTCAGTTTCGCTCCCAGGAGCAGGCGGATGGGTTAGAGATGGCCGTTTTAGGCCGAAGTACAGACCCAGTATTCACCTGGTCTCAAACCAAAAGCTCGGGCCAGGTCTACGATGTTGTCGATGGCGCACTGGATGGAAAACGTTACAAGGCAGTGATGCTAGGTCGAACCCGCGGGGAGTGGAAGCAGTGCAGTCTACACTACCTTTTTCGGGACATGGATTACGTTTATGATCATTCGGCCCTTCGTGTCAAATTCCCTTATTCGTTGTACGCAAACTATATCTCATCACACGTTGACCAGTTATATTGCGCCGACCAACGAGTGTTCTTTTCTCACTGCGAAAAGGAGTTCAGAGATATGGTCGTGGAGTTCAACGATGAGCACATTCTGCGGGCATTCATGACCTCACTTGCACCATCGCACGAGCTCATATACTCCAGACGGTCTACCTCCCTTATGACCAAAGACAAGTTACTTCTGGGCCCCAGGAAGTCCGTCAAAGGGGACTCCCAGGTGCAACTATGGCGGGATTCGGAGGCCCTTCGCCTTGCTGCCCGTTGGAACGACCACATCATGGACCGGTGGCTCACAATGACCATCCCGTCTTCTGAGCTATCGCGGGTCGGTAATCTAGTTAGCTTTCCCCCGAGCAGCTATTCTCGGGGAATGATCCTCAATATGTCGAAGATCGCAGCAGGGGCGGCCAAGAACTCGAGCAGAGAGCACAAGGTTGGACCGATCACGATCATGTTTCCCAACCAGAAAGGTAAGTTTATCATGAATCTCACGAGATGGTTGAGACTAATGTGAATACTATAAGACCAGGAGGATTTTGTGTCCGCGATAACCGGCTCGCATCTGAAGTAGTTTCGGGAGTTTCAAGGCCATCCGTAAGGCACCAGATACCCCGTGCGGGCCTGCCCCCACAAGGGGTTGGCGAAACCCTGGATTTGCACCCACCGTGTACTTGGGAGATATCATCAGACCGTCCAATGAAACAGTCACAGTACATTTATACCAGAGAGCTGAACCAACATAAGAATCAAGATAGTAGAGGACATCCTAAGAACATGGAATAAAAAGAGTAGTCACGCCCGGGATCGAACCGGGAACCTTCTCGGCGCCTCGAAGGGGAATTCGATGTGAACGAGAAATCATAACCATTAGACCACGTGACTCATACTTGAACAGTAAGGAGAGAAATTGCCTCATCTAGCAGTTGAACAGACACTCCCCATGCCATGTAACATGGGGAGATGTCCAACATACTCTAGAAGCTATCACAGCGACTTAACAGATCTTGCTTGAATCCGCAAAAGATCAACACCCTAATAAAACACATCTCAAATCCTTCCCTAGATCTAGTAGTACTATCTCAAAAGGGGCGTAATTAGTTCTGAAACTATCCGACCATACTACCACCTTAAATATAGATCCAGCTCAGGAAACACTCTGTCCGCGACACATACTATCAAACATCATCTCCTATTAGCCTATTGACCTCCGCACATCCCTATCTACACATCGCTGGATACACGAATATAGCCCATCCAGAGACTAATATTATCGAATCCCCACCTATGTCATCAAAGATAGTATCTCTCATAACTTCATTGGTCTTTAATCAGAGACAGGTACGTCTCTCTGCATACGCCTTCCCTCGTTGCGATCGAGACGAGGTAAGCAGGTTCCTAGATTCATGGGATTTGTGGTCTGGATGTAGATGGTTTTAGCTTCGCTATCAAGAATAAATGGATTGGTTTTGAGGAGGGTAACGTGGTATTGTGAGAATGGTATGGTTTAGTGGTAGAGAGGGGCTTCAGTGGTGGTGTGGATGTGGGTTTTGTAGTAGGTATTGGGTATTGGGTATGGGATATTGGATACTGGTTGAAGTGAGGTGTTGGGATTGAGATAGATGAGGTTCGTTTGGTTCGTTATATCGTGTTGTTGTGGTTT